CTATCTGACCCCGCATAGCAGGGGAGAAAGCCTCTAACCACTTGCTGAAAGCAAAACTTAGTCGAAGCAGCATTAGGATTAACTAAGCCTAGGAAGCAGTAAGACTTAACCAGCCTCGGGGCAAAGTCCATACAAGAGGAGCTGACAGAGCCTGCAGATCCTCAGTCCTCTAAGAGAGGATAGGATTACCAAAAACTGCTTAAGGTTTCAAAGTTATCTGACAGACTTAAACGACTCAAATGGATGGCCTGCCAGGCTTTCCACCCGAAAAATAAGTCCCAAAAAGGAATCTGCTGGGCGGAAAGGCCTAAGCCGTCTCGCCCCTGCATGAAACGGGAAACCAGCAGATTGTGTCCACTTACAGGGCATACAGCGTCTCGTGGAGGGAGCCCTAGAATTAAGAATAGTGTCGGTAATCTCTGCCAAGAGACCGGAACACATTTCAACTCTGCTCAGGGGTCACACCCATTAGCTCCAAAAACCCTGATGGGGATGTCCAAATCATGCCCCGAACCTGAGTCAGCAGGTCAAGCCCAGAGCGCAACTTACTCACAAACACAGATATCACGGATACAACAATAGATAAAGGCCACAAAGCGTTCTTCCTACCTGTTTCCTCGTGAGTCCGTGTAACATGCATCCATACATACCGGAAAACTCATTGTGTCCGCCTTAGAGGAGTAAACTGCTCTATATAAATAGATGGCTTAGAACACAAGAATCTCTTTCCGACGGGCAACAGATGATTCGCTTCATGAAGGAATTAAAATCTGATGAAATAGCGCGCAGCACGCTTATATGAGCATACGTGACGTATGCTCGGGGCGGTGCTAAGCGCTATTGGCCAATAAATTGGCGTGATGGTATAAGGGCTTCAGACATTCGTCACACCGGAGATGTTCCCATAGCGATGACGTCATCGCAGCATTGAAGTGAACCTATGAGAGGGAACGGCAGATTAAAGCAGAAATCAAAGTTTAACAGTGGCGTGAAACAGAAGAAGAAGCAGCGAAATGTGTGCGAAAAGTCACGCATTCATTCAGCGTGATCACGATTAATTACTGGCTCTAATTCAAAGCCAATTACAAAATCAACAGGAAACGAGTTTATATGGGCATTTAATATGGTAACATTAATGTAAACATACATAATCACACATACGCTAATACACGCAAATAAAAAAATACGTCAATACATTAGAATCATGTGTAATTACGTAAGAATATGTATTTTACCCTTTCCATTTTTTTCATTACTTAAAATAAAATAAACTTGACTAAGCTAAAGTAAAATGTATTTAACTAGTTGCCAAGGGAACATTTTTCATATAGTTTAATGACGGATGTACTAAAATAACTAAAACTAGCCAAAAAAATAAATAAATTATATAGACATTTTAAAAAGCTGAAAACATAAAATAAAAACATATACAAATTTTTGATTAATTAATTAAATTAGTTGTTTTGCGTCATTGTTTAATGCATAATAATGTATATATTTCTCCTGAGTTCTGATGTGCGTGTTTTAACTGTGTGCTGAATCAGAGAGTTCCTGATAGGTTTACACAAGCCTAAGCTGGAGCGGAGGAGAGCAGCGCTGGAAGAGATGAAGAACAAGCTGAAGGAGGAGCAGAAGCGCGTCAGAGATGAGGTGAGAGCGTGATGAAGGTGAGGAGGAGGATGATGGTGATGATGAAGCAGCTGATGGCTCTGATCTTCCTCCAGAGACACAGAGAGTATCTGAAGATGCTGCAGGAGCGGCGCCAGGCTCTGGGTAATTGTGTGGGGTCAGAGGTCATGTGACACGCTTGTGTGACGGAGGTCAGAGATCATGTGATGTGTGTGTAGATGAAGCAGACGAGCTGGTGGACGCGATCACAGCCACGAAAGAGAGCGTTCAGTACGACCATCCCAACCACACCGTTACCGTGACGACCATCAGCGACCTCGACCTATCAGCAGCCAGATTACTGGAGCCGGATCAGGTGACCATCACTGACCAATCAGCTGCTCGCTAATGAGCGAGGTTATACTGGTTAAACGTGTGTGTGTCGTTTCTGCAGAGAGATGAAGAGCGTGAGGAGGAGAAGGATGGTGAAAAAATACAAGCCCTTCCAAGGACAGCTGGAAACCCCCTCATGTCCAAAAAGTACTGATTGATTGATTGATTGATTGATGTGTGTTGAATTAGCATGTGATTTGACTCAAGAATGATTCGTTTGAGGAGTCATGTCTGTTCGTTTAGATTCTTCATCTGTGTGTCTGTAGGATCCAGAGGCTCACGGCGTCACTGAACAGTCTCACTAAACACAAGCCCAAACAGGAAATGAGGTGGAGAAACCATCAGAGCGACAGGAAGTCATCATCATCCACTCACGACAAGAAGTTATGAATGGGCAAAACCGGGAAAACACAGAGATGCAAAAGAACAGGCCGGAACGAGCGCAATCAGGACTGATGAACGTCATATTCTCAGGAGAACAGTAGCGATTAGTCGACGGACACGTGAGCGACTGACACAGCACTAATCTCACAACTTCTCGACTGACGCAGCACTAAACTCACAAACTCTTGACTGACGCATCACTAACCTCACGACTTCTCGACTGACGCAGCACTAAACTCACAAACTCTTGACTGACGCATCACTAACCTCACGACTTCTCGACTGACGCAGCACTAAACTCACGAACTCTCGACTGACGCATCGCTAACCTCACGAGTTCTCGACTGACGCAGCACTAAACTCACAAACTCTTGACTGACGCATCGCTAACCTCGCGAACTCTCAACTGACGCAGCACTAAACTCACGAACTCTCGACTGTCGCATCGCTAACCTCACAAACTCAACTGACGCAGCACTAAACTCACAAACTCTTGACTGACGCATCGCTAACCTCGCGAACTCTCAACTGACGCAGCACTAAACTCACGAACTCTCGACTGTCGCATCGCTAACCTCACCAACTCTCAACTGACGCATCGCTAACATTACGAACTCTCGACTGACGCATCGCTAAACTCACATACTCTCGACTAACGCATCGCTAAACTCACGAACTCTCGACTGACGCATCGTTAAACTCACGAACTCTCGACTGACGCATCGCTAACCTCACAAACTCTCGACTGACGCATTGCTAACCTTACGAACTCTCGACTGACGCATCGCTAAACTCACAAA